AGTCGACTTTTGTTAGAGATATTTGCTCATCCAATTCAACTTAGTCTATGGTACAATGTTAAATTCTAATCACACAAATAAAAGTGAGCTCACTTACAAAAATTTACTTAACTTGACTAAACAAACATCAAAATTACATTTCTTTACCGATTAAATACACAATCCAACTACAAAAATATCACTGAAGAATACGTTATATACCAATCACGTGTATTAATAATGAAGAACAGACTACTTCTAAGAAATGAAAACATAGAACTTGAGAAAAATTTAAAATATTCTCACCAATAATTTTGTACATCAGTTCATTTATTATTTGTATAACTTAGTTAATTATTTAGTTAGACCATATTCTGTTATGGTTGATGTAGCTCCATAGATCATACCAAGTTAAATGTTTCAAGTTTATTTTGACATTTTATTCATCATCATTGATATGTTAAAGTTGGAGGAAACCATAAAATCATTTTCCCATCTTTGGAGTTACATTGTTATTTCTCATTGTTAGGACGGGATGAAAAATCAGAGATCACATTTGCTTACCAATCATCATAACTGCTTACAATAATATTTGTTTCAATCAGAGAGTGATTTTTGGTTTTATATTTAGTGTGACTTTGTGGTGTGTACTACTATGTCGACATAAGCAGTATATAGCGCTGGTCAGTAATAGAATGTCTGGCAGCAGAAGCTCAAGAAGACCGAGGAGGAAGGAATGGGAACAGAAAGCAATTGGTATGGAAATGCAGGAACATTTGAGTTTGAGACGATTGGCTGATATTTGCAAAAGGAACAGTCAAGTTTGAGACAATCGACTAACAATTTGCAAGTCAAGTATTCACTATATGGTTCCCAGATTCGATTGTCCCCCCGTTGCGTTAACGTTCACTAAACCTTTATTGAAGATAATTTTCTTCAAATGAAGTAAGAGTGAGCACCACTCAGTATGACACTTAGTATAGACGTTTATGTAATATCTGTTCCGTATTTTCCCCATATATATATATTTCAACACAATGTGCATACAATTAGTTATATTTTCCATGTTTACTCGTTTTATCACATTATTTCTAATTTGTCACAATAACAGTTGAATGAATTTCCCATAGCTTTTCATTAATTATAAAAATAATACAAATAAACAGTTTAATTTTTTATGGGTTTACCAATAGTTTTGTACTTATAATTAACTTAAGACAGCATTGTTGACTTCATTTTCATTTCTGTTGTGCCCAACTATGTTCATATGAATCCGTATACTAACACATTGTACATTACCAGCATACATGATGTATTCTGTAGTTTATACACATCTATTGCCAAAAAACAAGCTTCCTTTCTTCCGACAGAATATCGTTCTACATCTATTTTTTCCGTTTCCTTCGTTTTTTAATTTTGCAAGCATGTATTCTAATTCTCTGTCAGTTATTTTGTATACCAGTGTTACCTTTGAACACTCTAGGAGTAGCAGTGTGGAGATAGTTAGAACAGACTTAATTTGTAATTAGTTTTTGCTACGGTCTGCATTTCTTTCATTAATTCTCACAATTGGTACAGTTGCTATTATTGACTGTAAAATAGTTGTTTAAGAAATGTAGAGGCAAATTTTCCCTATATCTGACTCCAATAAATGATATTCCGTTAATTGAGTATTTAACGCTGGCTAAATCTCCTAGTAGAGTGATGGATTTACTCGAGATTATTCAGAAGCCTGAACACCAGTTGTAGAGACATTTTATTGTTAAAGATTAATAAAACCCGCAAGCGTATAGCAAGCAAGCACACAGTGAAAACAAGGGTGTGTATGTGAGTGTTAAAAATCCATATATATATATATATATATATGAGTCATAATCAAGTGTGGATAAATTATTGATTGTCTGTGTATTACGACCAATGGGAGAATAGATTAGAGTTGATGTGCAGATATGTGCTCAATCAGACTCACACAGAAATTTACATAGTGGATTAAGTGTGTAAATTACAGTGAGCAGATAAATAATACAGTAGTTGAGTGGCCCTACTACACAAGCCCCCATCCAGAACATTGATGTGTTTTATTTACAAAAAATACTTTTATTAACATCTACGTTCGACAAAGAGATAAAAATGAAATTGTTTTCAAAATAAATGTACAATTCGATATGATGAGTAAGCGTTGAGCTGTAATAACAGCTTGTGTGTTGAAACGTTTTATATCATGTTTGCATCAAGTTAAGGTGAAAGTATAATGAAGATCCGTAGGGCCAATAAAAAAATACTAATGAAAATAAAGATTTTTGTGTTATGTGAGCAATCTCAGGATTTGGTTTAGATAAATATGGTGGTTGATACATACCTATCTGGCCAGTGTACTCTTCTTCCTGATCCTGTTGTAGTTTCTGTTGCTGCCGAACTTTGATGTGAAGTATTGTTTGTTGCAGGTAGTTTGTATGGTGCTTGCTCTGTTGTGGGTTTCGACGGTTTTACCAATGTCTGTTTTTCACTGTACTCTAAGTACGCTGGTTTTACTCTGTCGATGCTGACAGTATCATGTCTACCTGCTCTTTCCACTGTAACCGTTCTACTGTCCTTTCGGATGATTTTAAAAGGGCTGTCGTAAGGAGTCTGTAACGGCTGTCGTACTCTATCATTTCTGACGAATACATATGAGCGTTTGTCTAGTTCATTGGGTACAAATGAACTCATCTTATGAGTTCGTGGTTCAACGGACCTAATGGATTCCACCTGCAGTTTTAATTGTTGCACGTAGTTGGTTATATCTGCTGGAATATCTGTTGCAAGGTCGAAAAATTCGCCAGACAAACGTAACGTTGTTCCATAAACCAACTCAGCAGCACAACAACCGATATCTTGTTTGATAGTTGAGTGAATGCCTAATAGTATCAAAGGAAGTTTGACATCCGATTAGTAATCTCCTCCTCTCGCCGTCAAAGAGGCTTTTAACTGTCTGTTGAACCTTTCTATCATTCCATTAGCAGTCGGATGATAAGCAGTGGTTCTAATCCTCTTTATACCGAAAGTATCTGTAAGTTGCTGAAATAGTTTGTTTTCAAACTGAGCTCCACGATTGGTCGTAATTGTTGTAGGGACACCGATGTTTGTAATCCAGTGTTTCACTAGTTTCTTCGCCACTGTTGTTGCCGACGTGTTTTTTAACGGGACGGCTATGGGCCATCTCGTGATTCTATCTATGCATGTTAGTATATGTTGTGGATGCGGAGGAATAGACCAATAATTATCATGTTAAGTCCAATGGTGTCCTTGGACTTTAAATGAACATTGCCTATTGGTCGATTTCTGTTCACTTGTTGAATATTGTACAAAATGTTGTTTTCTATTTTATGGTACGATGTGGTATGCTTGATTGGTATATAAACAAAGTATGTTTGAAATATAATGATTCATATCTCCGAGGCTGTGACTTGTGTTCTGGACTCAACTGACTGGGCTAGACAGGGAAGCGGGACCAATCGAGACTCTAGGTCGTTCGTACGTGTTTACGTGTCACTGTAATCGATCGATAAGTACGGTGCTCTCTAATTTTTCCAGTCAAGGACACAACAATTAGCACAGGGTAAAAATCGACCGCAACTTAAAGCCATTACCGTATATGCGTGTAACCATTAGAAATTGGTAACGGTCCAACGATGTCGAAATGAATGTGGTCGAACCTAGAGCTAGAGGCGGGAAAATTCCTGTAGGAGATATGATGTGTCTATGTACTTTTGACTTCTGGCATTCGATGCATTCCCGTGACCATTTTCGTACATCTTTGTTTATGTTTGGCCATACAAACCTATCTGTGATAAGCTTTACAGTGGCTTTTATACCTGGATGAGATATGTTGTGTAATTTATCGAAAATGTTTCGTCTCATATCTTTAGGTACGAAGGGGCAAGTTTTACCTGCTCACGTATCACAAGTTAAGGTGTTCTTGTTGTTTATGGGGATTTCTTGGAATAATAGTTTAGTTGCCTTAGACTGCAAACGTTTTTGTAGCAACCTATCGAGCTTTTAATGTTTTGCCATTTGTTGATAGTCTATATGAGGGAATGAGAGGGTATTGATATTTAATATCGATAGTGCATCAGCCGCATCGTTTTCCTTGCCTCTTATATGGCATATATCAGATGCAAATTGCGAAATGAATTCTAGTTGACGAATTTCGCGCTGACTGTATTTATCATGATTGTGCATCGAGAACTTAGTTAGAGGTTTGCGATCAGTATGTAAAGTAGAAGAATTGCCTTCTAACATATACCGAAAGTGTTTGATGGCTAAATAGACAGCCAAGAGTTCTCTTCCGAATGTGCTATATTTTGAGTTGCATTTAGCTTTGTTGAGACAAACGCAAGGGGTTGCCATTGTTGATTGACACGTTGCTGAAGTACAGCACCTACTGCTACATTAGAAGCGTCGGTCATTACTGCTAAAGGTGGGTGTATTATTATCACCCTGTAAAAATAAGTATATATATTTGCGATTGTACAGCTTTGAAAATGAATTCGCCGAAAAGAGAACTCTTCGCTGAACTAATCTTTCTTCCTTATTTAACTTCAAGTAATCCACGAAAGTTTTATAAATCTCAATTGATTATATTGCTTAATCACTAAGGCTTAATTAGAATTCATCAATGTTGGTTCAGTTGACCTTTCCTATGGAAATGATGTCGTTGTACTTGTGAACTGGTAGTACTACATTCGCCTATCGTAACTATAATGACAAAACATTGAAACATTCTGAATAAGTTTTGCATGTACTATTTGTTGGGGACGGTATATCCTGAAAAATTCATATTTGTAATTTTATCATATCGATTAACTTATCGATTAAATGTTTAAATATTTGAATGGAAGTCAATTGACAAACTGATCGATCAAATATTTAAATGCCTGTCGATTGATGAACTTAATGAGTAATGTTTAAAAACATTTTACTATGATAATATTGATTAAATATATTTGTATATATACGTCTTAAACTGTGTTTGTGGGCTCGCTCGTTTCTGGCTGTTTGCAGAATATATTTTCCATACCAAGCTTGAACTTCTCCTTCTAGATAGCGAGGCTGGGACGCATCAATAGCTAGATTACTGGTCTTTGGTCACCGAGTCTTGTTCTCGTTCGCAGATTAAGTGAACTCGTAAAGCTTCAAACCTAACACTATTGTTAGACAGATGAGTGTTCATTAGATGACATTTCCTATACGAAATCGTTGACTTAAACCGTATGTTTGATAAAGCTTGAAAGCGTTTACGAATACGTGGGCGATAAACACATAATGATTGTTAATCTTAAATGGATTTTGGTGTTTTCATCATTTGACCTTTGCCATGGAAATAAGAAATTGAAACAAAAGAATTTAAACCAAATTGTGGGTGGCCCAGAAAAGGGCCTTTACTCGTTCCCTTAACAGTTCCGAAATTCATGAACAAAAAAGTTGCTATGACTCCGTTATAGCGCCGCACATGGGACAGTGGATTCTACGGACAAGTGGTGATGGGTCGTAGGCACAAAATAAATGAAACATTGCATCGCATCGACAAAAAATCCAGGTACTTCCATCAACAGTTTCATGTGGCGGTTGAGCAAGATGACAAATATCACACAGTCTGTTGTCATAAGCGTTTTCGTCATTGTCGTCGTCTAGTTCAGTGAACTCCTCTGAGTTAATCGAAACAATTTCTTCCTCATCATTGCTTAACGTTGCATTCATATTGACGTTATTTTGACAGTTGGTAACTTACAAAATAGGAAGGAAGGACATTGAGTGTTCACGAAAGTCCTTTATAAAAAATTATAACAACACTAATCAAATTACCTCCTTTGTCTACTCGGCTGTGAGGAACCGCTAGGTGTTCTGCGGCCATTTCTCCAACATACGAATCTAATATACGGCTTCCGATCTCTATGGAAATGAGAATCCCTCACCACATAATGGCAGTACATAGCTCTTTCATAAGTTCTAACACCGCTCTTCAAATAATTGAGACGCTACGAGATACAGTGTGATGAAGAATAGATTATCGGCAACGTGAGGAATAACAGAGCTTGAGTTTTGTACGTTACTACAGTCCGTAACTGGGAGAAGATGTGCTCTGTCATCGAGTCCAGACATTCTATACTGATTTTAAGAAATAAACGACCAATTATAACGAACTCAAAACTAACCATTTGATTGGACGAAACAGAATGAAAATTATCGGAAGATGGGGATGAAAAATTTTTTCAAAAGGGATAAAAACAATTTTCACTAAAAAAAATACAAAAGTGGCCGTGCAATTAATGTTAACCTGCACTCACCATGGGTGGTGAGCGGATAATAGGAGTCGAGAAGTTCGTGTATCTGGGTAGCTACGTAAGTGTTGAATTCTGTTGGACCTTCATGACTCCCTGGTTGGGGTCCTAGAAATGGTACAACACTGTCTAGAGAATAGAAGTCAGTAACGATCCTGCTGTAACTTTCTTTTAATTTTTTCATAAAAGTGGGCTTCTTTGACTGAACGAATTCCTTCTGATTGTATTTTTCCTACCAACTTCCTTTGCTTGAGTACATAAATACTAATGTCGGCTGTAACGATTGTGTAGATCTTTAGTAGCATTGAAAACAGCTCTTTCTGTGGGAGTTTTGTTCCCTGAGCTAGATGGTTTGGCCGTGGAGCTTCCATTGTTTTTCTTAACAACATCAACGCCTCAAACTTTGGGTAGAACTGAAGTTTTCGAACCAATAGACAAATCCATCCAAAATGATAGATAACCAAATCTCAAGAATTTTGAACAAGCTTGTCAAAAACAGGACAAATATCAAGACAGGATCAATGGAAAATGGAATACAATGAACCATTACTCCCTCGAATCTATGGTAGGCTGAAAATACACAAACCAAACATCCCACTACTTCCAATCGTAACAATCCTCAGAACACCAACATACAATTTGTCAAAAAAATTTCACGAATATTGGGACATTCAATGGATTCATCCGATCACTCCATCAAATATCCTATACAATTCATGGATTAGATTAAGGGAATTCAAATCAACGACGAACTGATGATATCGTCCGATGATGCAGTCTTACTCACCTCACTTGAGACACACTTAGCGAAGGAAACTCTAATACTGCTCCTTACAAACGACACTAATCTCGCAAAGTACACGAAGCTTCAAAGTCAAAGTTTACTAGAACTCATCGATTTATGCTTAACAACATATTTTCTATTCCACAGCGAAATCTACGAACAAACTAAAAGAACATCGATGGAATCACCAATATCAGGACTTATTGCATAAGCAGTGATGCAGAGACTGGAAGTCTCGATCCAACCAGTGATCAAGCCAAAATGTTGGATTCCCTATGTGGACAACACATTCGTCACTGTCGAAAGGGACGAGTTGGAAAACACAATTGTATGAATGAAGAATATTCTTTTCAATAATTTCTCATCAGGTTCCACAATTATAAATCCAAATTAATAATCCATAAAATTGGCCAAGATTTAAGGCAGAGTACGTCATTTAAAATGGTAATATGTGAATCAAGAATTGTTGTTTGTTATGTAATAATATCAATTCTGATCGTTAATGTTAGAGCTGACTAATTTAAAGTGTTAACATGAATCAGTTTATAAGTGAAATGGAATTGTGCGATAAATGATCAGAATAAATAAAGCAATAACAAATATTGGTGCAGAATAGTATGAATTCGTATTATTTCGAGGTTTCTCGTTAGCTGCTTACAAACCAAAAACGTGATAGAATTTTTACATTGAGATAGAGTGAAAACAATTGACATAGATGAGTGTAAATAACTGGGTTACAATAATAACTATATATATATGAACAGGTCAGAGGTCAAAAGGAATTAATTCGGGTTGGGTGGTGTAATGATGGAATTGAATAATCATAAGATAGGTTACGTAATAATAATTAAATAGAATTCGAAAAGTTAAGATAATTTAAGAGGATGAGGTATGGAAATATGTGAATAATAATGTGGTTAAGAATTATGTAATAGGGGAGGAGTATAAATATTTTAAAATAAAAAAATAAAAAACACGGTTACCAGGGTAGTGATAAGTTTACTAAAGTCTCTTTTTGAATGCATTAGTCCGATTTAAGTTTTTTGATCATAATGGCTTCAGCAAAACGGAAGGTGGGCGTACTTCTTTGTCTATTGATAATTTTGAAAGCATGCGGAATGTTGATGGTGTGCCCGGTGTCAAGTAGATGTCGAGCTATTGCGCTCGACAGTTGTTCTTGACTTGGATGCAGCATTTGACTCTATAGATCGAGAGGTTCCGTGGCATTGTCTCTCATTGAATAGTGTATCTCAGACGTACATAAACCTTGTGAAAGACTTTTACTCAAACACCACTAATCGAATCAGAGCTTATGACGAACTGTCATCTGATTTTGCAACCTCTGGTGGCGTCGAACAAGGTTGTCCACTATTTAAATTTTTTCGACTTCATCATGGACCTACTGCTGGAAATAGTGTCTTCGTCGACTGAATTTTAAGGAATAGATCTCCCACCAGGAGGTGCACTGACCGACTTAGAATACGCAGATGATATAGTCCTGTTTGGCGAAGACGCTGATAAAATGCAGAGTGTTTGGTAGCACTGAGCAATAATGCCAAGACGTTTGGGATGCGTTTCTTCCTATTTTGAAATTCACGTCGTTGCTTCAGGATTGGGCTGCATGATCACATGAACTAAGGATAGGGAATGAAGTAGTTGAATGCGTCGACGACTTTAAATATCTTGGAAGTCTGATCTGCCCAAATGTGTTGGTGTCTGACGAAATCTGTGCATGGACTCAAAAGCTCGTTTGGCTTTTGCCAATATGTCAGTCATCGTGAGGGCGAGATATCGGTCAATCAATTAAGGGGCTAGTATACTGTGCGACAGTTCATTCTGTTCTACTTTACGGCTGCGAAACATGTAGAAGATACTTGTAAGTTACTAGTATTTGATCATGTCACATGTCACATAAACATTTCTCGTATCAGCTGGGTTCACCAGGTAAGTTATAGTGAGGTTAGAATCAAGGTATTGTGGAATGATGGTAAGTTAGTTGATGAGGTTGTGAGTCTTCATCGACTGAGACGGTTGGGCCCCGTGTTACGTATGCCTGAACACCGATTACCACGACGAGCAATGCTGACTAGTGTTGTGGATAGTTGGAGGAAGGTTAGGGGCGGCCAAACCAAAACATGGGATCGGTCCTTGAAGTTACTATCTTGTAGTCTGAGCCATGTTGGTAGATGCAGACTACTTGGTTGGGGTCCGCATGACTATCATAACCAATGGTTGAAGACTCCAGGTGACATGGCTGAGAATCCAATACAATGGAGCAGTTGTGTACACTCTCTGTCTTCCCTTAAACTGTGAGATTAACATTGCTTTATACCTTTCTTTCTACGAACTATTTGTTTCTTCTTGTACCACATCGGTCAGTCAGTTTCAGTAAACTTGGGACGGTGTTTCGCGCATGTTTCGTCCGTGGTGACACTTGAGGAGGGAGTTGAAAGAGAAAGTTTAGAGTTGGAAGTCGACGTAGGAGGAATAATAGGAATTAACAAGGGATATTGATTATGAATACCTTGATCTTGAGTGCTATTAGAGGTATGAGGGCAGTTATCACTTCCCGGTTGCCCACACCATTGAAGGGTTCTTCTGGAGCTACCTGAGATGGAAATCGGATTAAAAGTGGTCTTGGTGACCCGAGAGCGTGATCGCAGTGCCAAAGGGGACATTTGCCTAATGTCTGTCACCCGCGACGTTCTTGTGGGTAATTATCGTGTTAGCTCCGTACTTGTTGAGAACTTAACGGTGGAGATGGATATCCGTGGGATAAGGCGAGGTGTGCATTTTCACGGTCGACCTTTTAAAAGCCCACCCCTCCTTGTG